TTAGTACTAAAACTTATTTATGTAATAATAGAAGAGAATTGTAGTAGGTCGTCGGATTTAATCAGCTAATTATTCGATAGCATATTGCGATCGATAATTTAACGTTTATTCTTTCACGTTTCATTCTGCTTTCTTATGACGGCAATAAAATTACAGTTGCTCTTAGTTGATAATTAACCGAGCAGAAGCTAATCATTCTTATTATTCAACTGCAGTTAATGTTATATTGCCTAGTTGGGATAGTCACCTAATCTGCGGAAAATACGTTGTTGAGAAGAAAACTGTGTTAAAAATTATAGATAAATAATAATAAGAACAAGAAAAAAATGGAGGAATGTCGTACGCCTACCATGCGGTGCTGTCACGAATTTAAGTTTAATAGTAGTCCTTTCAATTCATGCCTCCAGGAAGCACACATTTTTAATCAAATGTGCTGTTCCACTCCTAAGCATATGGACATGAACAATTTTGAACTTCAGACATCTATGATTAGCCCGTTGGAAGGGCTTAATAAATCAACATTTTCACTCAGGTTATTTCCTCAGACGTCTTTACCAAGGCACCATTAAACAAATTAACGTTAGCATCTGTGCTTCTTTCAGCCCAAATTTTTCGCCGGTTGCATCCACCAGCAATAACTTGAGTCCAGAATACGCCAGTCATCACAGTTTGATTAAAAGTATTCTGAACAGTAATATAACGGTTCACTTGCTGCTTAAATATGTGGGCTTAGAAGCTTATGCTGATTATTTTGAAGAATGCGGTATCGATATCAATGATTTCATGAAATTAAAGCGCCATGATTTACAGAAATTTGGTATCATGCCAGAAGTTGATTGCGATCGAATTGAAAAGTTTCTTGAAGATTTGAATTTTAGTGAAAAGGAGGAAATTTAGGCTTTCGTATGAGAAAAAGTTTTTAAATAAATTTTCCGTCAGAATTGCGGTTTACGAAAATTATGGTTTTTTTTTCATTTTTAGGTTATGTGTTTAGTTAATTCTGCATGTAAATAATGTTGTGTTGTACATTTTAAAATTTTAGAAATCACGCCATACGGGTCGACCTGAAGTTAAAAAGAATACATCAGCACGCTTGCAACATATGTAAGCATTTTTAGTGAAAATGAACTCGTAATTTAAATCTACTGGAATTACTTTATTTTAGTTTTGAACGCAAAGCAAATAAATTATATTTGAAAGCAACCCAGACCTTGGAGCAATCTACCGGTATATCTATTAAAAAAGCAACGTCGCATTCGGATCATTTGTCTTCTGAAGAGTTTGCTGATGGCGACCAAGAACTGGATAAATATCTGGTCATGCTATTGGGCTTGCAGCGGCTTTTGAATTGGGAAAGAGCCCTTATGCAAGAGATTATACCCAATTCGAAGCATGCTGACGTCTTCGCCAAGCTTGCCTATAAGTCAATCGATATGGTTGTCAAAGATGCCGAAGCTATTACTAATCGTATCATGCTTTGTATTTCTCGTAAAGAGTGGACATCGGCTTTGGGTATATTTTCAGCATTGAAAAGAGTAATTTTATTACAGCCAGATATCGACCGTACATACGACGTTCAACAGAGGGAGCAATTGAC